AGGCTTATCTCGGCACAAGGCCCTGCTCGATTGGCATTTTCTGTATTTATCAGGAAGATTAGGTAGTTTCGCACATTCACAGCATCTTCGGGGGTGAGACTGTAATTGCTGGTATGCATGATCATCTCTCTCATTTCTTTAACATGAGATGACGAATTTATGCTGCGGATTTCTTGGACTGTAGGAAGGACATTTTGGGCCTTCCATTCTTGATCTGCTCGTTGCTTGGCAATCGTCTTTCCCCATGACTCTCTCCAGTTTCTTTGGGTGTCTTTCAGTTCTTCCAGCGCCTCTCTCTTGTCAGATGAAAGTGACCTTTTCATACTCTTGATGGCATAGGTAAGAAAGCGCTCAAGACTTGAAGAGTAGCAAGATAAAGTTTTACTACAAAGGCCTTGTGACTTTTCTTGCTTTCGCAACTCAATCTGACGCTTAAAAAAGCGCTTGTAAAGCCGATCTTTGTCCAAAAAGACACCCAGGTCCCGAACGTTCGGATCTACAGCTTTGGCGATGGTCACAACGTGCTGGCACATTTGACGAATCATGGCTGGTGTCTTTTCAGTGCCATCTGGAGTGGCAAGATAGATGTTCCAGCCCCTAACTAATGACTCAAAGATGTTAGTGGGCATTGAATTTGGTCCATATGGTCCCAGGTTTGCCTCTTTTCCCTGAACATTATCATTGTCATCACTAACATCGTCGCCGATACTTTCATCCATCTCTTGCTCTTTACACGCTTCGTTTTCTTCACTGTCTTTATTGTCTTCGCTAATCTCGTCTTCACTCTCGTCGTTTTCGTCACGCTCATCCCATTCACTACCTTCTTGCTCTTCGCTTTCGCTATCTAAAGCCAGAGGGCATTTTTTCTTTGTCTCGACATCCTTTGCCAGTTTTAGCAAAGCCATCTTGAACTTGGATAATGGCTTTTTTCCATCCACTTCTTGTTTTTTCGATTTACTGCTTTGATCATCTTGAGTATTATTTGGAGTGTCTTTGGTTGTGGTTATCATTTTTTCTTTTTTGCTGATGATCTTACTCTTTGCTTTTAACCTTGCCATTTTTTCACTTCCAATATCAATGTCGTGATGGACGTTAAGATGTCTCTCCAATTTCACCCCTGACCAGGTACATTTCTTTGCAGGGCAAGCACGTATGCGATGCCGGTCTTTCCGTTGTTCTGACTGTTTTTGGAAAAGCCACTGCTCATATTTTTCGGAAGACCAGCCATGCCCTGGCTTGTTGGTTGCAAGGTGCGCACGAAGGTGCTTCCTTCTCTCGCCACACACGGGGCATTCGCCTGTGGAAAGAAGGGGTCTTTTCTTTACACACGTGACCATAACTTCTTTTTCAGGATCTTCTACTTTATCAAGCTGAGTTATTTCTCCRGTCTCCTTGGCTCTGGATATTTTTACCACTTCCTGAGAAGTCTCTGCTTCCATCGACGCATCTGATGGAGGCTCTTCATAAGTGGCACCTGTGACACAGGCTGTAGATTGCTCTTCATATGTTCTTGGGGCTTGCTCCGGTTGTAYATTGTCAGCATGAATAGGGCCACACTCGTCTTCAATTTCACCAATAGCATCTAGTAGTTTCTGGGCTCTTCGCTTAACAACAGCTTTGGCATTGAATCCGTCATCCTTGCCTTTTGGAAGGACTGCAATCTCTTTTCCTGTGCGGCAAAAGTGGTGAGCTCTCAGAGTTGA